CGGAAATAAGGTAGTATAGCAGTAGGCTCTTTAAAAGAGAAGTACATCAGGTGTTTCAAAGAAGTAAGCATGCTGTGCTACATACCTATCAAAACTATGATTTAAATCACAAGGAGAAAACTGACATATACCTATCAAAACTAGTATTCATATCACAATCAGAAAATTGATATGTACCTATAAAAATCATACCTATCTATAAGAAACCCCCAGTCAAAATCCTGGATCGTTCCAGATAAAAATGTATCATATGAATTTTTTTCATTAATACGCGTGGTTGTGACCTAAAATGTTTTACTTCCATTATTTAAAATCTATTTTCAATGGCTAAAATATAAGTATTGATTAGGGGACTTAAATGGAAATATTTTCTTATTTTTCTTGTTTTGGTCAGTGACATTAGATTATGATTTTAGATCAATGGTTAGGACTTATGTATCAGTTTTATTCCTTTATCTTTTATTTTCTCTATTTTGTCAGTGACATTAGATTGTGATTTTAGATCAATGGTTAGGACTTTTGTATCAGTTTTATTCCTTTATTATTTATTTTCTCTATTTTGTCAGTGACATTAGATTGTGATTTTAGATCAATGGTTAGGACTTACGTATCAGTTTTATTCCTTTATCATTTATTTTCTCTATTTTGTCAGTGGCATTAGATTTTGATTTAAGATCAATGTTTAGGACACCTTTAATATTAATTTTCTCTATTTTTGTCAGTGACATTAGATTGTGATTTTAGATCAATGGTTAGGACTTACGTATCAGTTTTATTCCTTTATTATTTATTTTCTCTATTTTGTCAGTGGCATTAGATTTTGATTTAAGATCAATGTTTAGGACACCTTTAATATCAATTTTCTTTATTTTTGTCAGTGACATTAGATTGTGATTTTAGATCAATGGTTAGGACTTACGTATCAGTTTTATTCCTTTATTATTTATTTTCTCTATTTTGTCAGTGGCATTAGATTTTGATTTAAGATCAATGTTTAGGACACCTTTAATATTAATTTTCTCTATTTTTGTCAGTGACATTAGATTGTGATTTTAGATCAATGGTTAGGACTTATGTATCAGTTTTATTCCTTTATTATTTATTTTCTCTATTTTGTCAGTGACATTAGATTGTGATTTTAGATCAATGATTAGGACTTATGTATCAGTTTTATTGCTTTATTATTTATTTTCTCTATTTTGTCAGTGACATTAGATTGTGATTTTAGATCAATGATTAGGACTTATGTATCAGTTTTATTGCTTTATTATTTATTTTCTCTATTTTGTCAGTGACATTAGATTGTGATTTTAGATCAATGATTAGGACTTATGTATCAGTTTTATTGCTTTATTATTTATTTTCTCTATTTTGTCAGTGACATTAGATTGTGATTTTAGATCAATGATTAGGACTTATGTATCAGTTTTATTGCTTTATTATTTATTTTCTCTATTTTGTCAGTGACATTAGATTGTGATTTAAGATCAATGGTTAGGACTAATGTATCAGTTTTATTCCTTTATTATTTATTTTCTCTATTTTGTCAGCGACATCAGATTGTGATTTTAGTATTATTTCCTTAATATCATCATTTATATTCAATATTGATTTTAAATCAATAGATCGAATCGAAGTAATAATCGTATTGTATTATTTGTACGTGTCTGTTCAGGAAATTGCAATCAAACTAAATTACACTATCTCTTGACCCATATTTCTTCATATTTTCATTACAATAATTAGACGTTTATTTAGGATTTTAGCAGTATACATGATGTAAATTCGATGGTAGGGGTTTTCAACAGGGGGTAATGAGACACTTTGAAGTCTACCATCAATTATTTGGACAATAACAATTAAAGTCGTTGTTTTCAGGCAGGATATATTCTCTGACATGAAAAAGATTGCAGGGAAAACCTAAAAGAAGATCACAAAATAATAAGGATTTATATCGTGGTAATGGTAATTTGTTAACCTTTTGTAAATGTATATACTCATCATTAGAAATCACAATAAAATAGCCTTGTGTAGTCAATCTATTTTGCTACTATTCTTACTAAATCTGATATTTTTTTTACATTTGTTGCTTAAAAAAGAAACTGTGACGAATTTAAAATTAAAATTCATGACATTTTCAAATGAAAACACGTCTCTTTTAAAAAACATTTAGTCTTATCCAATCTAAAGGCGATTGAGTCAAACTGACCTCTCGATATAAATCAAGGCTGTATCAGTCTTAAAGTGTTATAGAAATAACACATGTATGTTATGTCATATTTAGATATTAATAGTGAAAACATAGTGTCGACATTTTAGATTATAATATTGTAAACGTCATATTAGATCATAATATTGTAAACGTCATATTAGATCATAATATTGTAAACGTCATTTTAGAACATAATATTGTAAACGTCATTTTAGAACATAATATTGTAAACGTCATTTTAGATTATAAAATATATAAGTCCTTTTATATCATATAGTGAAATAATATAACGTCATACTTAATATTGCAACGTCATTATAGATCTGTAAAATGTTAACGTCATTTAGATATTAATATGTCAACGTCATTATAGATCTTAAAATGTTAACGTCATTTAGATATTAATATTGCAACGTCATTATAGATCTGTAAAATGTTAACGTCATTTAGATATTAATATGGCAACGTCATATTAAAATGTTAACGTCATTTAGATATTAATATGGAAACGTCATTATAGATCTGTAAAATGTTAACGTCATTTAGATATTAATATTACACCGTCAACGTCATTATAGATCTGTAAAATGTTAACGTTATTTAGATATTAATATGGCAACGTCATTATAGATCTTAAAATGTTAACGTCATTTAGATATTAATATTACATCGTCAACGTCATTATAGATCTTAAAAATGTTAACGTCATTTAGATATATATATTGCAACGTCATTATAGATCTTAAAATGTTAACGTCATTTTATATTTGATATTGCAACGTCAAGGTCATTATAGATCTTAAAAAAGTTAACGTCAATATAGATCTTAAAAAAGTTAACGTCAATATAGATCTTAAAAAAGTTAACGTCAATATAGATCTTAAAATGTTAACGTCATTATATTTCAATATTGCAACGCCATTTTAGATATTAAAAGTGTAAACGTAGATTTCAAGGTGTATCACACGTCACATAATCTTATAGATATATGTGGGTAAAATAAGAGTAAAAATATTTAAAGATATAAATGTAAACGTCATATCAATGTAGAATTTAATTATAATTGTGAAATATTATCAAAGAAAATCATAAAATTTCATTTGTAAAATGATCAAACTGTATATTATATATTGTGGAAAAAGTGAAATTGATATTAACTGATATTTCAAAATCTAAAATCTGATATTGAATGAAGTTAATATGAATCCCAGACATTATGGGTTTTAATTATTGTGAAATATTATTCAAATAACAGATTAATAAAGTAAAAAATATTAGATTTCTTAAATAGTATCGTACATTGTAATATTATACTTGTATCACAATGTAATTAGAGTAAATCTTAAAACTAGGTTATGAAGCAGGTCAGGTTCGAATACAGTAGGAAATGTGGTCACACAGTTTCTCAAACATTTTGACAATTTGAATAATAATTAAAATATATATCTTCAAGTGAAAATTTCACCAGGTCCACAGAAATGATCAATCTTGCCTAAATTG